AACGAAACCAAGTAATAACCAAAGATAATAAACCCCCCCCCACTAAGTAGGTACTCGCGTCTTGCGCATGACAGGAATAACAAAAAAAAACTATTCTAAAATTATAGGTTAATCATTTACATTCATCACAAAAATCAATTACATATTTCAATTAACAAACACTGTCGGTATCCCAGCCCATGTGTCTTGTCTCGTATCCGCTTACCGTCCCAATCCTTACCTGTCTCGTCCTAGCCTTTACCGCATTCCGTCCCAACCCTTACTTGTCCCGTCCCAGCCTTTACCCGCGTCCCGTCCCAACCCTTACCCGTCCCACCCCAATCCTTACCCGTTTTTTCGTTCGAGCCCTTACCCATCACGACTCAGTCTTATCTGAGGTACGTTTTTCTTTTATTTGGTGTGATGATTAACTTATATTTTCTCTTTGAGGATAAACATGCGAGACCAAAATAACATATAAGAAACCGCAATGTTAAAATCATGAGGTAACTGAAACAAAAGATATTTAAAACGAAAACCAAACGAATCATGAGGTAACCATATATTTCGTTTTACTTAAAAGGTTCTAAACATTAATAGGTGAGGCTTAACCTTCACAAATGTACGCAATATTTTTTTTTTATTATTAAAAACCAATCAAATTGAGAAGAACTAAATCCTAAGAGGGGAGTCTTAACCCTAACACACTAAATAAAACTACAGTTCGATTCAATTCGGTTATAGAGAAATTTGATACGTATGTAGCGTTGCAGAAAGAACTAATAATTTGATTTGGTTTCTAGTTAAAATTGCCGATTAATTGTGGGGTGTTCAATTTTGTTTCGTATGTAACGTTGCATAAAGAAATATTTGGTGCATGTTTATGTGTTCATATCATGATTCTTCTTCTCACGAAGTTCTGTGCAAACATCTATATATCTCCTATGCTTGTATAGCCACTGCTTTGATTTAATCAATCTTATCACCAAAGTCCATGGATCGAGTACTTTCAACTCGGAATGAACTGATACAAACTGAATAAAACTATGATTCACTGGAAATTTTCATTTTCTTATCATGTACGATACAAACATAGAGAGATATAGAATCTGAAAATATGTTGGATTTGTTTGCTTTGGAGACGTAGGAATTGTGATGTGAAGTGACGAACTTGAGATCCTCTGCATGTCGAAGTAAAAAAAACCTTTCTAGAAACCACACTTCTTTCTAATGGTTCGATGCCAACTACGTATGTTTTAATGATGTTTCGAATTAAGAAAATCATTAGGTAAAACCAGAAAACCGAAAACAGAGAAAGATCATACCGATCTTAGTAGCCTTGTTCATCATGTTCAATAAACCTCAGCTTCCCGTTACAATACCACCATGCAGTTCCAATTCCGCCAACAGTTATATCGACATTAACCATTGTATCTTCCCACTGCTCTAGTCATATAGTTTCAAAGTGTATCTTACAAATAAAAAAGAGGTTAAAACATCTTATTAATAGTTTGAAATTTACCATTGTTAAAATTATCATGCGAGCACTTGATTTCTCTTTGGTTGGGAACCTTTTTTTTTTTCTTCGTAATCAAACAAAAGAAGACACAATCACAAGTAGGTATGTTAAAATGTACTAAAACACGTAGGGCTGGCTCTGACCTTAGTAAAAATTTTGAGCCCTAAGCCCTGTAATGATATCAGGCTTAAACATGGCCACTGTTAATTAACCCTAAGATTCTTAGGGCTTAGCAAGGGCTAAGCTTTTAGATTTTAGATATTTCTTTATTTGGATAAATAAAATAAAATAAATAC